ACACTTATGGGTGAAAGGTTGTGATGAATGCCAACGAACTGGGAATATTTCCCGCCGACATGACATGCCTATGAACCCAATTCAAGAGGTAGAAGTATTTGACGTATGGGGAATCAATTTCATGGGGCCTTTCGTCAGCTCATATAGCAACAAATACATACTCGTAGCTGTAGACTACGTGTCGAAATGGGTGGAGGCTGCAGCGCTCCCGACAAATGATGATAAGGGGTTAATAGTTTTTTTGAGAAAGAACATATTCACCCGATTTGGCACTCCAAGGGCGATAATCAGTGACGGAGGCACTCACTTCTGCAATCGAGCCTTCGCAAAGCTGTTAGAAAAGTATGGTGTACGTCATAAAGTTGCCACCCCATATCATCCACAAATGAGTGGGCAAGTAGAAGTGTCGAACAGGGAGATAAAGAGTGTTTTGACAAAGACTGTGAATGCTACAAGAACGAATTGGGCAAGGAAGTTAGATAATGCACTCTGGGCCTATCGTACTGCTTTCAAAACTCTGATTGGTATGACGCCATGTAAATTGGTATTTGGGAAGGCATGTCACCTACCAGTGGAGTTGGAACATAGAGCTTTATGGGCACTGCAACAGTTGAATCTTGATATAAAAGCTGCGGGCACAAGTAGAGTCACAGAGCTGCACGAGCTTGATGAATTTCGTTACCACGCTTTTGAGAGCACAAGATTATACAAGGAGAGAATGAAAATAATGCACGATAAAAATATTCTTGAGCGGAGTTTTAAACCCGGAGATAAGGTATTGCTATACAACTCGAGGTTGAGGTTATTCTCGGGTAAGTTAAAGTCACGATGGTCCGGACCATTTAGTGTGGTGGAGATTCACCCCACCGGAGCCATAGAGATTGCTGCATCAAATGACTCTCACACGTTTAGAGTCAATGGGCACAGGTTAAAACATTATTTGGGCATGGAAGATGCAAATGTAGTGTTGGTGACTCATTTGCTCGAGCCACCAAGGTTAAGCGAGCCTTAAGTTCAATTATCTGCGTCGTGCCACGACGTTAAATCAGGCGCTTGTTGGGAGGCAACCCAGTTCGTAGTTGAATTTTAGTGTAGTTAGAATTTTTCCTTTCTTTTTTGTTGTTGTTGTTTTGTTTTTAGGTACTAACAAGTTTGTAGGCGAGTTGGGCAAGCCGAACAGGGTTTAAGCATCACCTGACACACCAGGCGTTGGGGCTGGTGACGCCTGGCTAACGCCAGGGTCTGCTTGGCCTTAGGCTGGCGATGCCTGGCTAACACCAGGGTCTGCTTGGCCTTAGGCTGGCGATGCCAGGCTAACGCCAGGTACTGGGCCAGGCGACGCCAGGTAAGTTATTTCGGCCCAGCTTAAGTTATTTTCGTCGAACCTTCAAACATTACACGCCTTAAACACTGAACACAATACAAACAACCCTAACCTCACTTAAACCAAAAACACATCAAGCTTTAGGAAAGAAATTCACAAGCACACACATCTTCTCATCATCGTTGCTCTCAACCAAACACACTGCATGAATTGCCCTCACCCACAAACACTCAACAACACATTGCCATAGTGGTCTCCCCCATCCCCATTGAAGTCAAGTTTAATCTTGCTATTCTTTCACACTAATCAGAAATTATCAGGCAGCTCCCTCCTCTCAAAAGCTTCAAAGGTATGATTTAATCTCTTTCCTTTGTAATTTCAAGAGAGGTACAAGTATACAATTACACACAAAAATTGGTGGTTGTTCTTCATTGTGGTATTGAGTTTGTGTCCCCCAACCCCATGAAACCCCATAGGAATGGTGCTGCGATTATGACAACATGTGGTAGTACGGAACCCCCAAGCTGATTTGGGAGGATGAGGCAATCCCTCATGTCCATAAGAAATTCCATGGCACTAATGCATGTTAAGTGTTTGATATAATGCCTCAATGGCATTCCTTGACCAATTGGAGCCCGAGTCTCCGGGATTAATAGACTAGTGTTATGAAGTCATACACCACGATAAAATCTTAAGTGTGGGGTGGCTCGCGGGTAGACCATGTATTGTTCTTTGATTCTAATATTAAGAAAAGACGAGGTGAAGTCTGAGTAACCTCGGAAAGTTGGAAAAAATTATGTGTGTAGTGTGTAATGCAATTTTATCTGACTACTGCTTATTTGTGTAGGAACAACGATGCCTCCCAGAAAAGACACAGGCAA